ATGATAACACGGAATTTGCACATGTTTTATCCCACATTTCTTGATTGTTTAGCTTGGTATTTATCATACTTTAGCCTATTTTATGCTAGGTTGTGTTCTTTTGTCACATTTCAGGTCCTAGTATGTAAAGTGAAGCATAGACACAAATTTCAAGTCAATCGGAGATCAATTGGCGACTCGGGGGAAGAAACTTGGGCATGACCCAAAGAATAATGGATCTATACCTTATTTAATGGACAAATAATCATGTAATCTATGCGTGGAAAGAAAGAAGACGAGTCTACGAGCGTCTGGGACCAAACGGCGACTGATTCGGAGTTCGGATGAGGGAGAAATGATTGAAAGAGAGTAGCTGGCCTTCCAAGTTACGACCATGACCGTAACTCGGGGCCACGGGAGGCAGAATACATTCCAGAAGTTATGGGCGGAACCACAAAGGTTACGGCCGTAACTTGGGGCTGTAACTTGGCTTCTGTGAGCTGTATAAATGCGTTTTTGCGGATTTTGAAAGGGGAGAGCTGGGTTTTGGATCCTAAACAACCAAGGACAAAACCTAGAGAGAGCACCTTGGGAACATTCTTGGAGCTATTTTAGAAGATTTCTTTGCCATTGGAGCTCGGAATCAAGCTTGGAGATGGAGAGTGAATATCTAGATCAGATTTTTGCATTCTCTCTCTTCTATATGGAGTAACTTCCCTTCACTTAGGTTTTGAGGAACCCTAGCCATGTTTGTTTGATTGGATGATTGTATGAGTACTCTTACTTGATAATCTTAAGTTCAATCTATGCATGTTTTCATCATTCAATTCTGCTTTAGTCTAGATTATTGATTATGCTTTGATCCTATGAGAGCGAATACCTGATTAGGTCAATAGAGCACCATAGATTGATAGTATTGGATCGATTGCTTTAGTCGAGGGTTGATTCACTTCTTTGTATCGATTGAAAGCCTCATTCGATAGAGGGAATCTAGTTCAGAATGCCTTGATCGGTTGTTCTAGAGAAGTTTTAGTTGTTCTATCTTAATCTGGTTTGCTAGATAATGAACTGAAGCTGAGTAATAGTAACTCTAGAGACCCGTGGATTCGATATTTATTACTTGAGCCACTATACTGCAGTCCCTTTCATTGGTTACACTTGGGCTTTGTTAGGAGTTGTGTTTTAGCGAGTCACCATACAAACTGCAAAAACACCCGGGTTGATTTTGGAGGCTCCATCCCTATATAGAAGAGTTTCAACCAAAAGTCAACTAGGTTATTTTTTAAACATAAAAAACATTACAAACATGGTTGACAAAAAATGATAAACATGGTGCACAAAAATAATAAAGCTTACAAACATTACAAAATAAATCGACAAACATTACCAAATAACAAAGCGTACAAACATTACAAAATAAATTGACATACCTTGACTTCATTCACCACCCGCAAGATCGTAGAAAAGGAGCTAAAACTGCTCTTGCTCGATCAAGGCTTGCGCTAAGTACCAAAGTGCGAGACAACACAAACCCCCTTATGCGCATTAAAAGTGAAATACAACGTGACAAGATCGTCTTCATATGAAAAACTCTTTAAAAGACTTATGTGGGCAGGAATGTAAATACTTCATAATCAAGCTACATAGCTTCATGCCAATCTTAGTATAAGAAAACTCGAGGAAGAAAAAGAGAACTCCATCTCGTGATAGATGAACCATTTTGTCCTTACGAATTACGTTTTGAGCATCATTTCAAGGACCAAGGTTTCTCATTGCAAGGGTTGACCCGGTAAGCTTCTTATGATCCATTACCTAGGATCGGAAGTCACATGTCATCATAGAGGTCTAGTGAGGAGAAGGATGTTAAGATAGATTTGCTTAGGGACAAGCAAAGTTCAAGTGTGGGGTTATTTGATGACACGTAGAAATGTCTAGTCTAGACCCTCGTATTATGATCGAAAGTGCACACATTTCCTATCAATATCTTCATAATACCTTGAATTTTTGTTATGATTGCTTCAAGTGTGTTCTAGCAACCCTAGGATTGCTTTTATATGATTAATATGTGTTTTTGTACCTTTTTGTGCATTTTAAGTCAAAACAGACTATTGTACAACATGGCAGTCGTATGGGACATCGAGATCTAGTTGTTATAGCCAAGATTCAAAGAGAGTACGACTTAAGTAAAACAGTTCCCAAAATGGTGCCCTTGGTGTGAAACGATGATTTAGCGACCATTTTGTGGAGCTAAACTACTTCGTTAGAAAGTCACCCTGGAGCCTCCTGATTCGCTGGCCACGTGTTTGGAGCCTTCTCATTGGTTGGATGATGTTGGAGCTACGAGTTTTCCTCCCTAGAAAGTCTAATCAAAGGCCTATAAATAGGTCTGTAGAGATAGAAAATGGGAGGAGGAGACGAGAGGTCAAGGAAGGATTGTTACTCTATCGACAGAGCAACCCTCCTGGCTTACAACGAGAATAACCTTCAAGGGAGAAATGGCGCCAGACATGGTGGTATATGGGCTCCGTTTTCTCAATTGTCAGCACCGTTTCCTGTGGGCTTCTGGGGTATTCGTTTCAATCGATGAACACTTAAGAACCCTTCCCCATGGTTGGCTAAGTTCGTTACTTATGTAAGTATGTGAACACTAGAGGTTCTAATCATGTAGAATTCAATGTTTGGTTTAATAAGATTGTGTTTATTCATATTTGTTGATGTTCGATTACCTGTATTTTGTTATTTATCGATTCGAATGAGAGCTTAGTCGACCTTGGACTCCTTCGTGGTGCGAGGATCGAAATCCAAGTTTCTCAGGATTATGACTAGAAATGTCGATCCTATTCGATTGAACGTCATTCGGTCAAACGACATAATGTTGCAAGGGAGAAATTCTAAGGGTCCTTGTTGTACATTAGTTTGGGTAAATGCACTGATTAATTTATGGATACTTTGGCAGAGCATGGTTAGACGATCTTCTCCCCCGAGCAGCCTCGAGAGGAATAGAAGAAGCCCTCCATCGAAACCCAAGCCCCCTTGGATTCACCCACATGAAGTGTCTTTTTCCTCTTCCACGCCTTGGAATCGTAACCTATCCTACTTGCATCAAAGTAGTCTCATCCAACAAGACCCTTATGGTTCTGTAGAAAGAGATGCATCATAGATCTAAGAACCCAAATGGGGAGCAGGGAAAAAACATCAGCGTTCTCCATGGCCTAGTCTCCCAAAATTGATAACAGATAAAGAGGAAGATATACTCATATTGAAACCAAACTAAAAAATCACTCAATTGCTCGTTTTGAGGATAAAACGAGAATGAAGAGGCGATTCTACATCCAGATACTCGCAGACATCGCCAAAGGGACTTGAAGGGAGGCCAACGTGAGGAAGCGGGCCCAAGTGATTGATTGGGCTTCTCTCTACTGTAAATATTCCAATTGGGCTCCCTCCATCTTTTCCCCGGCCCCTTCAAATTAAAGTACCACGCGGCCCAAGTGAGTCCAATTAACTAGGGATCATGATTAATTATCTGCTGTTTTTTTATTTGAAAAAATCTGCTGGTTTCTAATAAGCAAGTAATTTTCATTTTTCAAAATGAGAAATTCATTCCTACACGGGACAAGGAAAGGAATAGAACAAAAAAGCTGAACGCCCAATTCCGGAAAAAATCCAAAAGTACCACTGTTTAAAAAAAATTCCAAAAATACCACCCAACCCCAAAAAATTCCAAAAATACCACCCTTTTTCAAAAACCGCCACCCCACCCAGCGGTTTGGTCGAAAACCGCTTGTCGGGGGCGCGGTTTTGGACCAAACCGCGGGCCTAGGTGGCGGTTATAAAAAAAACAAAATTGGACCAAACCGCTGGGTGGGGTGGCGGTTTGGCCCAAAACCGCCACCCCAACCAGCGGTTTGCTCCAAAAAAAAAAAAATTTCCCGACCAACTCCTAACTTCGGTCGAAACTTCAAACGAACGTAACTTTGTACTCGGGTATCCGATCGTAGCGATTTTTTTTTTCATTTCTCATAACTTTTCAAGATCTACAACTTTTACTAGGATGAAATTTTCAAAACAGGAACTATTTGTGGATATACGGGACCTTGAGAATAACTTTACCTTTACTTTTCAGAAATCCATGTACATTTTGAAATTATGATTATATTAAAAGTTGTAGATCTTGAAAATTTATGCGGAATAAAAAAAAGTTTCATGACATTCGGATTTTGGAGCACAAAGTTATGGCCGCCCAAAGTTTGACGAAATAAATAAAAAGGTCGTTCGGGGTGGCAAATGACGTTTTTTCGAGACGAAGATGGAACCCGACTGTTTGAGACTTGCAAGATCTCAAAAATTTATTCGGATTCAAAAAATGGAGGCCGCAAACTTTTTGAGATCTTGCAAGCCGCAAACCGCCGGGTCTCGCCTTTCGTCAAACTTTGGGCGGCCATAACTTTGTGCTCCAAACTCCGAATGTTATGAACTTTTTTTTGATTCCGCATAACTTTTCAAGATCTACAACTTTTAATATAATCATAATTTCAAAATGTACATCGATTTCTGAAAAGTAAAGGTAAAGTTATTCTCAAGGTCCCGTATATCCACAAATAGTTCCTATTTTGAAAATTTCATCCTTGTAAAAGTTGTAGATCTTGAAAATTTATGCGAAATGAAAAAAAAAATCGCTACGATCGGATACCCGAGTGCAAAGTTACGTTCGTTTGAAGTTTCGACCGAAGTTAGGAGTTGGTCGAAAAAAATAATAAAATTTTTGGACCAAACCGCTGGTTGGGGTGGCGGTTTTGGGCCAAACCGCCACCCCACCCAGCGGTTTGGTCCAATTTTTTTTTTATAACCGCCCCCTAGGCCCGCGGTTTGGTCCAAAACCGCGCCCCTGACAAGCGGTTTTCGACCAAACCGCTGGGTGGGGTGGCGGTTTTTGAAAAAGGGTGGTATTTTTGGAATTTTTTGGGGTTGGGTGGTATTTTTGGAATTTTTTTTTAAACAGTGGTACTTTTGGATTTTTTCCCCCAATTCCCCGCCAGAAAGAAATAGAATCCCTCTCCCTCCCCAAGATACAACTATGGCATCCAGTCCGAACAACACCGCCTTCGCTCAACCGGCTGCCGGAAGACCCCAAGCCTCGCATCCATCTCCGTGCCCAGTTTACCAGCAGCAGCAGTACTACCTTAACAACAGCAACTGCCAAAACCTCCCTCCCAGATCCCAAACCTAGATTCCCATCTCTAGTTCCCCGCCCCCTGCCCAAAACGCCATCGTATATCCTCTTGCTTCGTCCGGCCACGGCTTCGTTCCGGGCACTCTCCGCCCCTCCGATCACAGCTTTCCCCTCTCTAATAACACCACTCCCTCTACTCTTCTTCTTCGCGGGACCTTCAATCCCTCTTCCTCCGCCCTTAGTTACAGGCCAGCCTCTCCATCTCCCTTGCTCTCTCATCCTCAATATCCAACTCTCTCCAGGCAACCGCCTTCCAATCCCAACCCTCTCCATACCCCCGTTCCTTCTCCTCCCGCTTCAGCGGCCCCTATCAAGGGAATCCCCCATCCTTGCCAACTCATGGTAACTTCCATTGGCTTTTGCCCCTTTTCCTGCTGTTCTAGGGCTTCTGTTTCTCTCTCTTAGGTTGCCCCATCTCCTTCCTCAGTTTCTGATTCTAGTGATGTCATAACCGGGCTGCTCAATTAGTACGATATTGTCCGTTTTGGGTCAAGCCCGCACGGATTTACTCTTGGGTGTCCTCACCAAAAGGCCTCATACTAATGAGCTTGGTGGACACTAATATACAAGGGTTCCTTCCCTTGTATTACCGATGTGGTACTTGGATTGTCCCATAACAATCCTCCCCTCAAGAGAAGGACCACGAACTTCGTGTCCTCACCTCAGCGATTATCTTGATCCGCCAGACACCTTGTATCGATGGGCTTCTCGGTACAAGAACTTTACCAGACGCAGAACTCTCTTTGATATGCTTCCCAAACGCGGAACTCTCTTTGATCCGCCAAAGCCCAAACGTGGATCTCTCGTGAATCCACCAAACCAGACGCAGATCGCAAATCCTGAGGCCACCAAACGAGGGTCCCACCGAACTGACGTCCACCGCCCTGAACCAGACGTCTTATGTCGAACCTCCCTAGTATGTAGAGCAGATCTGACATCTTCCAAAGACAAACTATCTTTCCCAGCAATAAAAGAATCCACAAAATTCTCATATGACTGTGGCAAAGATACTAATAGAATTAAGGCAGCATCCTCATCATCTACTTTAACATCAATATTCCACAGATCTAACAAGATATTATTGAGTTGATCTAGATGATTCCTGAGAGATGTACCTTCCTCCATACGCAAACTGAACAAACATTGCTTTATATGCAACTTGTTGGTTAAAGACTTTGTCATGTATAGACTTTCAAGCTTCAACCACAAACCTGCGGCAGTCTTCTCAGCAGCAACCTCAGTGATGATGTCATCAGCCAAACAAAGCAAGATTGTAGAGTGAGCTTTCTCCTCCAAAGTAATCCACTCTTCTTCATTTATGCTTTCCTTCTTCGATTTTCCAGACAAAGGAGCCCACAAACCCTGTTGTTTCAACAGTGCTTGCATCTTGATCTGCCACAAACTGAAACTGTTTCTTCCGGTAAACTTCTCAATCTTCATACTGATAGCAGCCATTCTTATTATCAAACAAACTCCAACCAAACTTCTCACCAAAAAAGCGAGACTAAAACACAACTACCCAAAGTCAACTTCAAAGCGATTCCTCCACCGAACCAAGCTGAAGAATTGAAAGCTACCTCCACAAAGCAAAACATCAGTCCAGCGCCAAATTCCCAAAACCGCAACCAGGCTCTGATATCACTTGTCATAACCGGGCTGCTCAATTAGTACGATATTGTCCGCTTTGGGCCAAGCCCGCACGAATTTACTCTTGGGTGTCCTCACCAAAAGGCCTCGTACTAATAAGCTTGGTGGACACTAATATACAAGGGTTCCTTCCCTTGTATTACCGATGTGGTACTTGGATTGTCCCATAACAAGTGGCTACAAAAATACAAGGTCAAGAATTCATCTTAGGTGTAGCAATCAAGAATTCATTGCACACACTAACTTTAATCATGCTACTCTTGTTCTTTATGCAGGGACGTAACAGATGATGCTGTCATTGTAGTTAGAGATCGAAAAGTAAACTTCTCTTCCTACTTTCATCCATCTTAAGCCCCTCTCCGTATAATTGACATTTGTTGTTGACTTGTTCCAATTCTGAAAAGATGGTTGGCATGCTTAGATGCGTTCCTTCTGAATAGTGATGTATTATCACACTGTTCCACACTTTATTGCTGTTCCCGAACACTAATCATAGCGATAACAATTTCATTGATTTATGCTTGTAGGTAAGAATATCTGGTGGAGCTTCTCTTTATGCACTTTGTCGATCATGGTTGAGAAACGGTGTTGCTGAGGAAAGCCAGGTTTGTAACATTTGTTAAAGAGATTTGTTTTTGAACTTGTTGTGACTAGACTATACAGCTTTGTTGTCGCTCATGTCGGTGTGTGGAGGTTTTAGGGACTGATCCTCGGCACCCGCAATTACTTGTAACAAATAGGGATTTAGGGTCGAGAGAAAGAATTAGGGATTTAGATGAGAAAGAACATAATAGAATCAGGAATCGGCCGAGGCCTTGGATTAGGGGAGGATAGAAATTAGGAGTTGAGAGGGATTAGGTTTAGGAGAGATACTTTGCTTAATAATTTTCTTGACTGATTTCTTGATTACTTGTGACGTAAACCCAAAATACATATTTATAGGAAATAAACCCAAAATCCTAATAAACTAATCCTAACACGATCAACCTATGTTAGCCGCCTAACCCTACTTAACTAACATTATTATTAATTATTATTCTACTAATTATATGTCTAACATTCCACCCTCCTTGGAAGCGACCTTATCCTCAAGGTTGCAGTCAACTTCCGTCTTCTTGATTTTCCTCTTTCTTCGCTTCCAATTGAGCTCAGTTCCACAAATTAATCTTTCTCCACCAACTTCCACTTTCCACAATTCTTCCCCCACCACGTGGCACCTACGTTCCAGCCCATAGCCGAACAATTCTTCCTTGTGCTCCATCTGTTGGTCTTCAAAGATACGCTCTATAAATTCTTCCACATGCCCTTCTTTTTCTTCTCCTTTGGGTCGGCCCACATTAGCTTGAAAGTAGGATGCATGGCCCAACCCCATGTCAAACTTCCTTAGTTGTTCCTTCTTCTCAATTTCGCATGGGCCTAGCTCACTTACAAGTCCATCCACCAACGTAACAACTTCCTCCCAATCTGATTTCCTTAAGACAAAACCCAAGTTGGATTCAACTTCTTCATATGTTGGCCCACAACCATACAGAAAAGACTTAACTAGTGGGCATATTTCGGCCCGCTCCGATTGCTAATCCACTCTGGTTAACTCGAGCCCAGCGACCCGAACCACAGCTAGGCCCAACGGTTCTGGCCTCTTGGTGGCGCGACCTAGGGTTGCTGGAGAAGGGAGACCGCCGCCGCCTTCCTTCTTCCTTGCCTCTTCTTTTCCCGATGGCGAGCAACCCGACGGCCACCCCGGCTCCGGCGAGTAGCCCATCTCGCGGCGACTCGCCAAGCTCGACCCGGCGATACCCGCCATCTGCTCCACTCTTCGTTGGCAACCGGTCCTGAGCGGTGCAACGCTGACTTGTCATCGTCTTTAGCTCCTCTTCCTAGCCCGGAACGGATTCCTCTTCGTCGTCGCCGCGTTTGGGTTCCCTGTAACCCGCGACACCCACCGCGCGATTCGCGCCATAGGAATAGAACCCCGGCGGACCTGCTCCTCGTCTTTGGTCGTCATAGTGGCAACTGTTGGTGGTGGTGCTTCTTTTGGGGCCGGCGGCTTCACCGCTAGGAGCTCATTGATCCTTGTCCTTGTCTTGTCTGAGGAATGAACGGTTGATGATGCTGATGTCGCAAGGACGACAGGCGCTGCAACAGCTGCTTTCTCAATCATCTCAGATGCGCTGATTGGTGGCGCTGGCGTGTCTTTTGTGGCCGGCGAATCCGCCGCCATCAACTCTTCTACCGTCGCTAGCATCATGGGTGGCGTGGATTCCACCTTGCTCGGGCTCGATTGGAAACGCAGGTTGCTCCAACCAATCGTCAAAATCCATCTCTGCGATCATCGATCCGGTTGCGGCGCAAGCTATGACTGAATGCGGGATTGTACTCCTCTCTGTTCTTGCAGCTTCCAACTTTATTTTAAAAATCTTTGTGAGTTCTTTGATTGAGAACTTGACGAAGGTCGAAACCATGGTACGAGTGCCACAACCAGACTCTGATACACTGTTAGAACCCCGCTTCTAGGGATTTTAGGGACTGATCTTCGACACCCGCAATTACTTGTAACAAATAGGGATTTAGGGTTGAGAGAAAAAATTAGGGATTTAGATGAAAATGAACAAAATAGAATCAGGAATTGGCCTAGGCCTTGGATTAGGGGAGGATAGAAATTAGGAGTTGAGAGGTATTAGGTTTAGGAGAGATACTTTACTTAATACTTTTCTTGACTGATTTCTTGATTGCTTATGACGTAAACCCAAAGTACATATTTATAAGAAATAAACCCAAAACCCTAATAAACTAATCCTAACCTAATCGGCCTAGGTTAGCCGCCTAACCCTACTTAACTAACATATTAATTATTATTATTCTACTAATTATATGTCTAACATACTGGTTGATGATCCAAGTTAAGAAGCACGAGCAATAGGGATTATGAAAGAGAAAACAATGAACTTGTACAAACAGGATATAGGAGAACACAAAATATTATAGTTTTTTTCCCAGCACAAATCACTGTCATCATAATGATGTCGCTGCTCTATGGGATTGGTAGACATCAATGCATTTCTTAATCTTGGTGAAGTAGCATGAACAGGGTGAAGTTACGTAAAAGAAGAGGCACAATTGTGAAAATGGGAAGTAAGAACTTCCATGAGTCAATGAGGTGTTTTTAAAAATTCGTGATGTTTGCGCCACAATTTGGATGCTGTGAGTTAGGTTAGGTACTCTTCATCTCCCATCCTTTTTTACCACTAGACCGATATCTTGGAGTTAAATCACTTAGATATTAAGGGCCAGGATGGCTTTCAGGGGTGAGAGTTGCTGGTTGTTCTTTCCCTGACGGTGATCATTTTCAAGGTCATTTTTTCAAGCTGTCTAACTTGCTGTCCAGCGATTCTTTTCTAACTTTTGAGTGCATTGAATTATGTGCCATGTTGAACATGGATTCTCTCATACTCTTGCCTTTTTCTTTGTTAATGTGTATACTAAGCAGACACCCTATAGCGAAGGTGCAAAGACTCTCCCAAGACCCTTGCCATTACCTGTGGTGGATAGCAATTCACCAAGTAAGGAAGATGAAGGAGAAGACACTGACGAGGTCAGATTTATTCCCCTTTCATGCATGTTTATTGATAATTGTCAGAATGTGTCTCTTCAAGTTATGCAACTTGTTATGCGCTTGCTATCTTGTTTATATTTTCTGTAAATTGTCTGTCTTAGCTGATTCAATTCTTAGTATCTTCCTCTGAAACATATGTGTAGAAGTAGATGAAGTCAAGCTTCTTTTTTTGCAGGCTGAAGAAACTGTTAAACATTTATCAGCGCAAGACTTGTTAAAGAGGCACATCAAGCATGCAAAAAAGGTTCGAGCAAGGTAAGGGTATCAGATCTTGGTACATGTTTCCTCAGAATGCCTTCCTTGGGCTGACTATTATGATCTGGGCTGACTATTATGATCTCACCCTGACAAGGGAGGATACTCTAGCTATTTGGTCTGGTGCTTGTGCAAATAACGACAAGGTTGTGTGTGTGTTGTGTAGATTAAGGGAAGAACGGTTGATTAGAATCGCAAGGTACAAAACTAGGTTGGCTCTTCTTCTTCTCCCAAAGCAGAGCAGTTTAGAAATGACACAGCAGCTGGTAACTGAACTGAGGCAGGGGATGGGCATAATGAAGAATGTTGATGTGACTTGAATCGGATTATCAGCCGCTACGACTGGTAATCGGGGGTCTCGCTGTTATTTGGGTTCGGGTTCGGGTTCTGGGCCTGGTCTGTAACCGTTTCCTTTGGCAGATTGGATTAGGTTTAGACCCACATGGAGAAGTACTATAAATACTTCTCATACTCCTCTGTAATCTGTAATCTCCTCGATATAATGAAACTGGCTCTCTCTCGCCCGTGGACTAGCTAACACACATCGTGTTAGTGAATCACGTAAATCGTGTGTCTGTGTTTTTCGATTCTCGCTTTCGTATTCTTGCTTTGTCGATTCCGGCGATTTCCCGATCCGTAGCAGCGCGTTTATAACAAAGAAGTAGGGGAGTGCCAAATGAAAGAGGTTCTCTTTCCTATTCTCCCTGGAAAGCAAGATCAGCCGGCTTATATTCCCTGTCATGTGGTGAGTGGTGACCTGATGTTTCAGTTTGCCTCTGTCAATGACTACTTGCAAGAATTAAGGCACCTGTATTAACTTCCACCAAACGGTAGTTGGCGGAAATGCAAAAAGTGGAAGATTGAAGTAGTATTGGTCGCTCGAGTAGGATGCTTGTATTGTAGCGCGTGACTGAACTCTGAATTCATTTCCAGACCATTATGATATTGATAACACTGATGTCTTCCATAGCATGTTCATGTGTAAACTATACCAGCTGATGCGTCGTATGGTTCTAATCTTACCTTCGAAACCGCGGGCCTGGACTGACCTTGGTGTCTCCTGGCTCACGGGCTATGGACCACAGGTTCAGATTTTATGATGGGGCACGACAATTTACATCTAAAAATAATTTTGTATCGCATCGATTAGATTATTTACAAAGCATTTTTATAAGGTTAGATCAATTATAAGAATTGACTTGCTTAGATTGGGCCTCATGGTACTAGATTTTAAGTCCAAATGACTAAGTCTAAGACAACCACGTCGTGAGATTCGATCATGTTGGTCATGAGAGGGTATGCCGTGTGGAATAACAAGGAGGGTATGAAATAGCAAGTCTAAGATGTAGACTATGTCGGTCGTGAGATCTGGTCGTTATATCTGGCAGTGCTGGTAATCATGGTGAAGAGGAGGTAAGCATCAAAACTTCAGCTCTAAAAGAGAGAGATGACTGGGCGGTTAAGGGAGCAACTGTTGATTATTCCACGTTTGAGGTCACGTCAGCCACGTCCGAGGAAGAAGGGAAGCAATTATTTTTGGAAGTTACTCTCCAGAAGGTTTTCTACGACAGTTTTCCTACTCATGATTATAAATAGGAGGGGGAGTGGTCAGAGAACTGAGAGAAGGGTTCCAAAATCAATAGTCTGGCACACATGTCAAGTTTATCTTTTACTTTTTCTCTAGCATATGTAGCCATAGATTTAATTTTTAGTTTGGAACTCTCACTGAACCTCCATAAAAGTAGAGTAATTTAGCTTAGTTTTCTGAAACATCAATCAAACATCCTCGTTTGAACTTTGTTTGAAGAGGTGTGAGCCGTATCTTAGATTCTTAGTAATCGTTGTCCAAAAAATCAAAGGTACAATTAATCTCAATTCAACGCAAGTTTTTACACAAAAAAAACAAGTGATAACCATTAGCACACCTAGAGGTGGCAATCGGATTGGATCCATGGATTGGTGGATCCATGGATCAAGTGGATTGGTGGATTGATCCAGGAATCCAAATGACATCTAAGTCTTGGACCAATATGTAAATTTCAAAAAGTTGGGGTACTAAAATGTCGGGTTAATTGCATGGTTTGTCACTGAGATTACAAAAAACATTCAAGTTTGGTCACTCGAAATATTTAAATCCATTGATGACGGTGTCCATTAAGTGATGACGTGGCTGACAGAATTGCCCTAATCAACACTTTTTAACCCGAAAATTAACAGACTCGACCCGCCACGTCATTGAGACTCCCCATGTCATCTAAACCTACCCAACCCTCTAACCAAACAAGACCCGACCCACCAACCCATCTATCTTATTTTGTGGGTTTCCGGCGACAAGAATCCTCTCTTCTGCCCTAAACGTTCACATCTCACTCTGTTTCCTTCTCATCACCTTCTCTTCTGCTAATGGTGGCACCTTTCTGTCGTTGTGGATTGGCATCAGATCTCAAGACGAGCTGGACTGAGGCGAATCCAGGGAGGAGGTTCTACGGGTTCAACAAGTATGGGGTAAGATTTCACTCACTTTTCTGCTTTGATTTGTAGACCATTCGGCCATCCCTCTCCTTCATTCCTCACTATTTTTGTAGACAAATGGGGCATGTAATTTCTTCAAATGGCATGACCCAGCACCAGATAAACATATGAAGTTTGTGGTGCTGAACTTTCATTGTCGAATTCGGGAACTAGAGAAGAGGCAAAATGGGAAAGAGTCCAAAGCGAATGGCTGCCCAGTGTTCATCTTCATTATGATTGCTCTTGTCTTGTCTTTCATTTGGATGAGATTGGGAATGTAAGAAGCTATTTGCTGAATCAAAACTGATGTAATTGTTCGTTTTTGTATTGTAGACTATAACCCTGGAAAAATTAAATTTTACTTTTTGCATCTAAAAGTTCTGATTAGTTGTACGATTGACCATGCAGAAAGTTGTTCGGATTAAATTTAGTCACCAAAAATCCTAGTAACACTTATATTTGGTCACTAGAAAAACATGTAAGGACCACATTTGGTCACTAGAAAAACATGTAAGGACGACCTTTGGAAACTGGAAAAAGCCAGTTTTAGAACCACACTTCAATGCTTAACGTGTTCTGCATGACACTCAATTTTCCAGTTAAGCCGGAAACAGAAAGATCAAATTTGATAGTCATTCATAATTAGATCACTAACGACTATGTTGTCCAAAAGAGCCATGCATAATTAACAAGTCAAGTTTCATGGACTTGTATGACAAAATGGCAAATCCACATTGATTTGCAAGAGGCCTCAGAGGCTTCAAAGTTTAAAATAACCATTCACAATGACCTAACCGCCCACTGCATGACTTAAATCTACTCTTCACAACTACTCTACTTGAGTCACTTGGCTTTAAATCTGTGAGAGTTGATAGCCTTCACTTGATGGCCTTCGAGTACTTCCCTACAAATTAAGCCACATTAGTATGCTGGAAATACTTGATAAGGTGGGGGAAATGAAGAAAGTTATAAAATTTTACATCTGGCATGATTTGAACTACATGTGGGGGCTTTCTAGACGATGAAGAAGCAGCATTTGCAGCTTTCTCTTGCCGTTTTCTTAACGCTGCAAGTCTGTTTCGCTCAACCCTTTCAAGTTGTTGCTGCCTTTTTGCTTCTTCCTTCTATTTCCTCCTTTCTTCTACCTTCTGTTTCCTTGCTTCATCATGGAAAGTCTTGTTGTGGCCTAGTACACCACAAACTTTACACTTGTATTGCTTCCCTTCCGGTTTTGAAGATTCTCTTCCCCCCTTCTTTTGTTTCTTCTTGGCTTCTACATCCTCATCCAATCCCTTTCTCCTCTGTTTCCTTGGTCTTCCTCTCTTCTTCGAACTTTGAACAGGAGGAATGCCACAATCTCCCAACTCGGACTGTGGCCAATAGTCTTTACCATTGGTTGGCGAAATAGAATGCTCATATATTGTTGCTGCGGTTTCCTTGGTGTAGCATTTTGCAACATAATCATACAGCCTTGGGTTATCCAAACCAATTGCCTGGATAGCATGATGACAAGGGATCCCAGTTAACTTCCATCGTCGATAAGTGCATGCCTTCGCCTTCAAATTGACCACAACCTGCTTGTCATGCCAACTCACTTCAAACTGATCCCTTCCACTTGAAACAACTGTCCACTTTACAGCTTCTTCTTCCCGCTCCCGCAACTTCTTCTAAATTTTTTCCGTCAAAGAACCAGACCACTTGTTGATATCTTCCTCTCAATTGTTGCATGTCGTATTCTCCAAGCCTTCGAGTCCTTCACGGCTTCCTTGTAGTCTTCTTTCACAATGTGCTTCAGCAAGCCCCTTTTCATGTTCCTATCGCATGCCATCTTCCTACTTAACTTGGAGCCGAGAAACTTTGCAGTAGCGTACTTGACCTTGAACGTCTTCCTACAATCTGGTGAGAGCTCAACCTTTCACTTCTTGATTTGGACAGAATCTTCGATGCTCATCTTCAAAGCCCAAATGCACCAATCGCAAGGAGGAGCGCACACTACTTGCAGCCTCTTTCCATCATTCTTTTTAAAGTGGACTAGCCTCTTCTCAATGAAAGCATGTTGCTTTATTGCATCTTTTAGGACTCCAAAGCTGCTAAACTTCTGGGAAGCAGCAAAAGTAGGCCTCTCCATGTCTCGATCATTAGGGAATTCCCAAGACTGGTTCCTTCATCCGAGTCCGAGCTTACAATGATCCTACGATCATCAGAGTCTTGATAATCAGACCCTTCCCTTTGTAGTTCAGGTTGCCCATCATCCACTTCAAAAGTACCCATGTCGGCTTCCACCTCTTGAGTGATATTTGCTTCAAATTGTGCATTGTCCCTTGAACTATCTTCTTCTGAATCCTCCAAATAGTCGTTGTCTTCATCCTCATCATAGTCATAATCATTATCCAACTCATCTCCGGCACCCCTTTTCTCCTTTCTTCTCTCCACTGGAAGCACCTGTTTGGTAAAAAAACAGCAATTGAAAGGAGTTAATTTCAAAAGAAACGAGCATTTATGGAGCAACAGGTAAGTAGGTGGTCAAGTCCCACCAGCTTCTATTAAAAGACAGAAAATGTCAAACCCTAAGGCTGCATTTTTGTCATTCCCACATAATCTTGTATTTTTCTATTCGAAAACTACCCAAAGTGTTGTCCTCGTCTCTAATAAAGGCCAACTGTGGAAAAGGACAACCCAGACCAGCCATCTACCATAAAGACAAGAGCGAAAACGATGGGAGACTTACAATATTTAGGCTGAGTTTCATTTGGAGCCCACACATGCCCACCATGGTTCCTTCGGTGAAATGGTGACCTAGAAAACCAACAACAACCTGCAATTTATTAGTATAAAACAAAGCTAAAAGAGAACCCCCAAAAGGCACAACACCACTTTATACTCTCGTCTGCCCCCTTCTTATTTTCTCTTTTCATACTTTCCAGACATGACTCGAACTAACAAAAGCCAAAATAGCAAACTCACCTTTAGGGTCTCGTTGTCAGAGAGAAGAGGAGAATCGAAGCTTCAATTTAGGGTTACGTTGTCAGAGAGAAGAGGGAAAAAGACGGCGCGCGATGAAGAAGAAAATGGGAGAGGGGTTTGGACTTGTATTGGGGGGGAAAGACGGCGCGGGATCAAGAACACTGTGTGGTTGGCTTCATCCCTCCTTCGTCGTTGGTTTCTTCGCGAACAAAGTAGTAAAGGAAGAAACTCGGAAGGACGACAGATGGCACACGATCTGAAAGGGTAGGTGTTTTAGAAATTAGGGTTCAATTGTGTGGGTATTTTAGTTAAAGGGTTGGTGGGTTGTGTCGGGTCTGGTCTGGTTAGAGGGTTGGGTAGGTTTAGATGACATGGTGGGTCGGGTCTGTTAATTTTCTGGTTAAAAAGTGTTGATTAGGCGATTCCGTCAGCCACGTCATCACTTAACGGATGCCGTTAACGGAGATGGACGGCGACTAACGAAGAGTGACCAAAGGTGAACGGTTTTCGTAAAGTGAAGTACCATCAATGGATTTAAATATTTCGAGTGACCAAACTTGAACATTTTTTGTAATCTCAGTGACCAACCATGCAATTAACCCCTAAAATGTCATAATAAAAAATGTTAGGTACCAAAATGTATTTTTCAACAATATTTTTTGTATAGAAATTAAATTTTGGGTACCAAAATATAAAAAATATAGGTACTAAATTATAATTTGCCATTTGGATCCATGGATCAATCCATGAATACACCAATCCAATTGAATTTGGATCAAATTGATTGCAGTTAAATGGACTGGATTAGTTGGATTGGATTGATGGATTGAATTGAGAAGTGCCACCTCTAAGCACACCAAACAACAGCTCCAGGTTACCTACACCAGCGATAATTTTATGCCATTAACAGAAAATTACATTGGTGTCTTCTTTTCTATTTTGCTTAGCTCATTTTCAGTTTTTAAAGTGATAAAAAAATTAGGGATGACAGTTTTGCTCATACCCAATTGGGTTGAGTACGAAATCCAAATATATGGGTATTTTTTGCCATTAGATTCCTCTGAAAAAGAGGTAGAACAAAGTTCAAAGATACAAAGTCTCTATCGAGAATATAACCAAGTAACAAAGTCAAACCTCGCTAGAAGCCGAGGCGAAAAATTAAACCTAGAGCTTCACGAGCTACCGAATGAGGTGCTCTTTTATTAGCTCTACCAACAAAGCGTAGAGAAACGGTGGGTACTTCATGAAGCAGCAAAGCAATTTTCTTATAATAGAATCCCAATCTTTGAATCACTTGTCTGTCCGCTCTGCATTTATCTATAAACACTTTAGCATCACCTTGAATGCAAAGACTCATCAACCGGCATTGTGAACAGTGATGAGACAATCCCTCAGAGCCAAAGCCTCTAGAACATACGGATTGGAGACCCAACATAACATGTCGCCTTTGTCACAATGACAACACCTGAAGCATGGCGAATAACAAAAGCTGCAGACCCCGGATTCCCTGATCTTGTACCTACACCGAACGAGGCAACGTAATCTGCCACGGAGGCAGGTGAAGAATTGGCTGGAGTATGATGAGAAGGTGTGACAAGATTCGAAGCACCCTGAAGTAGAGCCCGATAATTCTCCTGGACTTGATGTTTCCATTGTGTTGCAAGTGTGTCCACTTTGACCTGCTTATAATCATAGAAAACAGAGCATCTGTTTTTCCAAAGTCTCCAAAGCAAACAAATAACCTGCAGAAAAAGATAGTCTAAATCTGGCCCTTCTTTGAACAATGAAAACCGAATGAAACCAACGAAAAAACCCTTTTGCCAGCGACCTAAATGTCTATGAAGTCCCACCATCCGCCATAGTCTTCGCGCAACAGGACAACGGAAGAATAGGTGTTCGATTATTTCTTCTTTGCGACCACAAACTGAACAAATGAGAATGATTTCCATCCGATTTTTTTTTCAGAAATAGCACCTTTAAAAAAAATTACAAAACTAGCACTCTTCCAAAAATATTTACAAAACTAGCACCGTTTTTTTTTTGGACCGCACCCTTGAGGTGCGTTTTACATATAAACCGCATCCTCCAGGTGCGTTTTATATATAAACCGCACCTGTAGGGTGCGGTCCATTTTCCTGGGCCTAAACCGCATCTTGGCCATGCGGCTTCAGGTCTGCCCTACACAAACCGCATGGCCGAGGTGCGGTTTTGGCCTGACCTAGACACACCGCACCTTAGAGATGCGATTTGTTCCTCCAAAACCAAACCGCCTATTTAAGGTGCGGTTTAGCCACACAGACCGCATCCCCCCAGTGCGGTCTGTGTGTCAATTATTTTCCGACACCCGACAATCACCCATGCAGAATTATAGACGTAGGGCTGCATGGCAGACCAAAACCGCACCTTATGGCGTTACGTCAGGCACGTTGGGCCTTTCCCGAACCCTCTTGCTCTTCTTTCTCTCGTATAGTGGTGGGGGATCGGGGACATCAAGTTGTACCCGAGATGGTGGGGGTGCAGGCGCGTCGGATATCTACGATGATCCCGGCCCTGAGCTCTGATACAGCCAAGTAGACTGTTTGCCATCCTCCTGATGAAGCTCACATCTTCATTGCCCAACTCAGTTCTTCCGGTAGTCATATCTTTGATCCGCTCGATCCCATCAGCCTAAATCACAAAAAAAAAAAGTTAGAAAAAGATTTAGGAACCAAGTAATATTTCATAGTATGTTTAGACGAAATATACTTACTAATGCACCATCGGCCGCACCCTCCGGAGTCATGTAATGAACCGATGTTTGCCGATATCGATCCAAGTATGGGTCCTGATACCCCATTCGGCCCACTTGATTTGGAGTGACAATATCCTGTAATTGTTGGTTCTCCCAAATCGCGATGAAGTTCTTCAACTTCGTGGGCCAATCGCGAGTACCTTGCCGACCATCTCGGCCATGGAAGGCCCTTTGACTATCGGGGACCTCCAACGGAATGCACTGCTCACGACCAAACTGACGGAGGCATCGATCCGGCAAGTGCCGCTCCACGGTCCCAAAACAAATTAGAGGAACCCTCGTGCACCATTGCCCGATATGACCGGGGAATTGCTGGAGATGCCAATGAACGATGTTCTCCGGGTATGGATCGAAGACGATCAACAAGAAAGAAATGAGTAACTTAAGATTAATTAATTAGAAAAATACATGTAGTCCCATGGAAAAAAATATAAATGGATCATAGTATAGAAGTTACCTCTCCTTCCCAAAGTCGCTCAAACCTCCTCCGATACTCGTCCAACTTGTGTTGGACAAGGTCGTCGCATGTTGTGTGTCCGAGCACCTTATTAATAAGACAATAACGAAACTACAATAAGATAAAACACAAGGGAAAATGTGTTATGACTACATGATGGGGTATGATAAGTTTACCTTGTACCATAAGCTTCACCTCTTAGGGGATGATCGATTGGCCAATCCCTGTCTGGACGTTGGACAAGTTGTGGTAGATCATAGCTAGGCAAGCGGATGCCCAACTATACTCCACCATCTCCTCCCAACTACTGAAGATGATCCTAAGCCATCCACAACTAAGGAGATTGCTTGATTTCTTGGAGAAGAACACTCCTCCGATCATGCCTATGAGATAGACACGAGCATATCTCTCCTTCTCATCCTCCGGACTTTCCTCGGTTAGGGGATGACTCTCGTAATGGTCTCTAAAATAATTCGTCAACCATGTAATTGAGACTTGGTGTTTCCTCATTGGTGGCATGCGATCGGTCGCATCAACGCAACCCTTCACCGGTACTTTCACTCCCAAATGACTGTGGATGAAATGAACCCAACCGGGCATACCGTCACGATCCTCAGGGGGATGATCACTCACGCACACCGGTTTGCCGTCGATGGGCAGATGGGTTAGGATGGCGACATCCTTTAGCGTGATGGTGGCCTCTCCTTCTCTAAAGTTGAAACAATGGTCTCCTTTCTCCATCTCTCGGCTAATGCGGTGATGAGTTGGCGATCAATTTGGATGCCGTTAAAATGCCTAATCGAGTCTAACCGTGCCCTTTTGAGAAAGGGCAAGATAGCTGGGTGGAATGGGAGCACATTGGTGGTACCCCTGTAGCGGATTATTGTTTGTGCCTCCTAGCGAAAATTTACACGTTAATTATTATATATTAGTAAGGTTTTTTTCTTATAACTAAATTAATTAAATTAAATTATGCGACATCAAGCAGAATTTTATTATCATAAAAAGACATTTCATATTATCATATTATCATAAAACAAACATCCTAAATTAATTAACATAATAACATTGTAAATGAATAATAATTTAAAGAGGTACATACATATTATCGTAAAACAAACATACTAAATTAATTAACATAAATAACATTGTTAATGAATAATAATTTAAATAGAAACATACATATTCAAATGTTTGAAATTAATAAAATTCTTTTTGTGCTCATAAAAATAAATCGTATTGGTTGTTTGGTAAATAATTTAATCGTATTGGTTGTTTTAAATAATTTAATCGAATACAAAGCAACACTCGTTAGACTCTTAGAAGAGGTATACATCTTCTTAGAAACGCAGTCTTTTTGACAGAAAAAGGGGGGATCCGAGGATCTCTTAATACCCGATTTTCCCAGGTAATGGGAGGATATGATAATCGCTTAAAACCTCATTTCCTTAGACGTGCATCTCTTCATAAAGAGTCGAAGTAAGTGGCGCTATGTATTCGATTAAATTATTGAAAACCACCAACACGATTAAAAAATCAACATAAATTTATTTTATATTACACTAAATACATTAACAAAATAAAAGAAGGACAAATGGTGAAGAATTTTATGTACCGGGTGATCGTTCCAAACATCCCTTGACCGATGGTTGGGTTGGTCGTACAAGTCAGTTGGATCCAACGGTCCTTGCTCGAGATAATACCGTCGGTTGTATATATCCACGTCCTCCCCAACCTACGAGAAAATAAAAACGAGGTTAGTACATAGATTCATTAAAAAGCTTATAACAACAACAAAAATTAAAGCAGAATAATGAGTACGTACCGCTTGAAATTCATCGACATAAACTCCCTCTCCTTGCCACCAATCGGCCATTTTTTTTGGGAAATTCGAACAGAGATTCGGCTCGGCGGGTTTTGAGGAAAAAACCTAAGAAATATATTCTGATGGCAGATCGGACTTAGCCGCAACCAACAGACTTCTATTTCCTAGGCTTTTGGGAGGGGAGGGTTTAGAGAGAAAAAATCTAGAGAGAGAAGGAAGAATGGGTTGTGGTGTGAAGAAATGAGAGGGGAAGGGGGGGTATTTATACCCATCAGACCGCACCCTTCAGGGGCGGTCTGGTAAATTTGCCCCCAGCGGAAACCGCTCCATCTCGATGAGGTCCGAGACTCCCGAGGAGCTGACCGCTCCTTCCTGATGCGCTCTCCGATCCGTGGCGCGGATCGCTGATTTGGCGTGCGGTCCGCCGTCCGATCGCCCCTCAATCCAACGGTCTGAAAGTCCGTGCGGCAGAGAAAGCACACCGCACCCCTAAGGTGCGTTTCGTGTGATGACGTGGCACGGAAAGCACCTCTAAGGTGCGGTTTACACATGAAACGCACCTAAATGGTGCGGTTCATTAATAAAACGCACCTTAGGGGTGCGTTCCGTTAGAAAAGTTGCTACAATTGTAATTTTTTTTATTTGGGTGCTAGTTTTGTAATTTTTTTTAATGGTGCTAGAATTGGAAAAAACTCTTTCCATCCCTCTTGTTGCTAAAGCTTCACGAGGCGGGAGGATACGATGAATGCACTGTCATAGAAAGAAGAGAAGCTTTGGTGGAACCTTCCGTGCCCAAACCCAATTCCAGATCGAGGGGTCCATCAAATCAATATGTGGCTTAGTAGGAAACGGATGTTGTATGCGGAAAGCAAGATGATAAGCAGACCGAGTGAAAAATGACCCCGTTGATTAGTAATGCCAGATTAAAGAATCACGAAGTGGCCGTTGAGCTAAGGGGATTCCATGAATTAACCGCGCTAACTCCTCGGAGAGTAAATGGTGCAGAGTTGCAGAATTCCACCTCTAATTCCCTGGATCAATCAAGGCTGCCACAAACAAAGAAGACTGAAACGAACCTGGCGAAGCTTGAGGTGCCCAGGGTGGATTGGTTGGGAGCCATGAATCCTCAAATTCCCGAATCGAAGCTTCATTCCCAACTTCTCATCGTAAACCCTCGCGTAACAAATCCATCCCAAACAACACACACTCCGCCATCGCCAGCCCCATGAGTGTTGCTTTGTATTCGATTAAATTATTTAAAACAACCAATACGATTAAATTATTTACCAAACAACTAGTATGATTTATTTTTATGTGCACAAAAAGAATTTTATTAATTTCAAACATTTGAATATGTATGTTTCTATTTAAATTATTATTCATTAACAATGTTATTTATGTTAATTAATTTAATATGTTTGTTTTACTATAATATGTATGTACCTCTTTAAATTATTATTCATTTACAATGTTATTATTTTAATTAATTTAGGATGTTTGTTTTATGATAATATGATAATATGAAATGTCTTTTTATGATAATAAAATTCTGCTTGATGTCGCATAATTTAATTTAATTAATTTAGTTATAAGAAAAAAACTCTTACTAATATATAATAATTAATGTGTAAATTTTCGCTAGGAGGCACAAACAATAATCCGTTAGAGGGGTACCACCAATGTGCTCCCTCTTCACCACGGAGAATCAGGTGGTCAATATGGCTGAGCGGGTGGGTACTTTACCCATCGCGCGTAGTGTTTCCCCTGAGATGAATGCCAGTTTAACCGCTGAAGTTCTTCCCTCTGAAGTTCGAAAAACGGTGTTTGCTATGGGTTCAAAGCAAGCACCGGGATCGGATGGCTTCACGGGTAAATTCTTCAAGGCATTTTGGGACATTGTTGGGGATTCAGTAGTTTCTGCGGTGTGTTCGTTCTTTACGACTAGTCGGATGCTCCGTAGTTTTAACCATACTTGGCTCACTTTGATCCCCAAGGTGGAGAATGTGGAAACTATGCGGCAGCTGCGTCCGATTAGCCTATGCCAGTTCGTTTATAAAATTATTACGAAGATCATGGCGGAGCGGCTGGCTTGCCTCCTTCCCCAAATTATTTCTGAAGGGCAGAATGCGTTCATTCGTGAACGTCAGATTGTTGAGAACGTCCTCCTTGGGCATGAGTTAATGCACTATCTGAAAATCAAAACTCGAGGCAAGAAAGGGTACATGGCTCTAAAGGTTGACATGGAAAAGGCCTATGATAGAGTCGAATGGCCTTTTCTCCTTGCAGTTTTGGAGAAGATGGGTTTTAATTCCGTATGGCAGGGGTGGGTTCATGAATGCCTCAGATCCGCGTCCTTTTCCGTCCTTATGAATGGGACCCCCTCGGGATACTTCACTCCTTCCAGGGGACTACGACAGGGTGACCCGCTGTCTCCCCTTTTGTTTGTCCTGTGCACTGAGGGCTTTGCGGCTCTCCTTCGGAAGGCTATCTCGGAGAATTGTATGGAAGGGGTAAAAGTGGCTCCTCGCGCTCCTCGGATCTCGCACCTTTTCTTCGCCGATGATTCGTATCTATTCTTACGCGGGACGCTCCGGGAGTGTGAAAACTTGATAGAGGTGCTGAATGAATATGAGGAATTGAGTGGCCAGCGCGTCAATTTGGCTAAGTCTGCGGTTTGCTTTAGCAAAAATGTGCTCCAGGAGGATCAGGAGTTCTTGGCTGCGGTTCTTGGAGTCGAGGCGGTGGGGGTCCAGGATAAATATCTGGGGCTGCCAACACGCTTTGCTCGATCCAAAATGGCCACGTTTCGATACTTGGAAGAAAAGCTGCTTGAAAGGCTGCAGGGGTGGAAGCGTAGGACGCTGTCATGGGCTGCCAAAGAGACCTTGATTAAGTCGGTTGCTCTGGCACTGCCACTGCACGTAATGTCCTGCTTTAAGCTTCCCCTCTCTCTGTGTCGCCTGTTGGATAAGCATGTGGCCCGGTTCTGGTGGGGCGAGGCCGAGGATCATGCTCGGATTCGGTGGATGTCTTGGCGTAATCTTTGCCGCAGTAAGCATGATGGGGGTTTGGGTTTCCGACGGTTTGAGCAATTCAATCAGGCTTTACTGGCAAAGATTGGTTGGCGTATCCTTATGGAACCACAATCGCTCCTGGCTCGGGTTTATAAAGGCAAGTATTTCCCTACTGGGTCTTTTCTGGATGACTCAGCTCGGTCCCGCCCCTCGTGGGGATGGCAAAGCATCCTGTTTGGTAGGGCTTTGTTAACGAAGGGGTTAAGATGGCAAATAGGGAATGGCCAGACTGCGCCTTTACTTCACTCCAACTGGATCCCTCTGCTTTAGCCTGATCCACCTAGGTATAACCCTCGGGTTTTACCGGAAGGTAGCAAGTTGAAGGTTGAGGAAGTGTTGCGTCCAGGCGAGGGGTGTTGGGATGATCGTATGCTTCAGCAATGGTTTGATCCCCCGACCTGTCAGGCCATCAAAGCTATCCCTCTTCCGCGGCAAAATGTACCTGATAGACTGATCTGGCATTGCACAGCTGATGGGGTATTCACGGTTAAGTCAGCTTACCATTTAGCTGTCTCCATTGATAGGAGAACGAATGGTTGGAGGTCTACGGTTGGATGGATGGATAAGGCCTCTTGGATCCGCCTGTGGGAGGCTAACATTCCCCTGAAGCTTAAAGTCTTTGTCTGGCAAATTCTCAATCGCATTCTGCCTACTACTGAGGCCCTTATTGAGAGGAACGTCCCTGTGCATCCCAGATGCCCGGTTTGTTGGGATGGTGCGGAAACGATGGAGCATATATTCCTTGACTGTCCGGTGGCGCGTGCCCTCTGGGTGCATTCTGGACTGGATTATTTAGGGGAGGGGCTGCCTCGGGATACTTTCCCACTGTTTCTGAAGCGTCTTATGGCGTTGATTTACCAACCTACTCTTTTTATGGCGGTGGTGGCGGTTCTTTGGAGGATTTGGCGGTCGAGGAACTGGGTTGTCTTTGAGGGGAAGCAGTTTGGGCTTCCAGCCTTGATGCGCCAGTTTCATCAACAATACGAGGAGTGGATTCGTTTGCCGGTGGATAGGTGTTCACTTGCGTCTCCTCCGTTGGTGGCCCCTCATGTGACTCAGAGCCAAGGGCCGGAGGGGCGGATAGAGTGGTTTGTATGTGGGATGGCGCAGTCAGGAGGGGGTCGCACTCGGCTGGAGGGGTGGTTCTTATGACGCCAGGGAGAGATATTTGGCTGGTGAGACGTGTTCACTTTCCTTGTCTGGATGACCCTCTGGTGGTGGAGTTGCTTGTCCTCCGTGAGGCTGTGGTGTGGTGCTTGGAGCTTGGCCTTTCGGAGGTGCGCTTTGAAGGGGATGCCATGGTTATTATTGATAAGATTAATCAGGAGGACGTCAGGGATAATCGTGTCGGTGCTGTGCTGGAGGAGATTCTGCAGTATTTGCGCAGTCATGCTGGATTTAGTGTTCGCTTTGTCGGTCGGCGTAGTAATAGGGTAGCCCATTCGGTGGCTCGTAAAGCCCTCTCTTTGTACCCGACGCACAGTCGTTTCTTTGATTTTCAGGCCTGGCAGATCTCCAGGATGTAACTATCTTTTGTTTGATCAATATAAGATTATCTTTTGTCAAAAAAAAAGTGCTCCCATTCCACCCAGCTATCTTGCCCTTTCTCAAAAGGGCACGGTTAGACTCGATTAGGCATTTTAACGGCATCCAAATTGATCGCCAATTCATCACCGCATTAGCCGAGAGATTGAGAAAGGAGACCCATTGTTTCAACTTTAGAGAAGGAGAGGCCACCATCACGCTAAAGGATGTGACCATCTTAATCCATCTGCCCATCGATGGCAAACCGGTGTGCGTGAGTGATCATCCCCCCGAGGATCGTGACGG